GAGGAAAGGCGATTTAAGTGACTCTGAATGTGGCTTAGTTGTTGGTGCCAGATTGGCTGGTCTTAGTATTTCATAAATTGCTTATCTACTTGAATTTTCCTGGATACATCCACATTGGGATGGTAGGGTCAGAAACTGACGTAAACAACGTGAAAGCATGGATCTATCTCACTTTATGTCAACAGTTCAGGCTGGTGGTGGCGATTCTTGGCACACTTTGGTCCCCCATCATTTAAATGCTGCAGCATATCCAAGCATTATTCCTGACCATCCCTTTATGACCACACTCTACTACTTCTCATGTCTGTTGTCACAAAGCTCAAATGCCCTCCAAAGTCACCAGAGCTCATCCCAATAGAGCTCATTTGGGATGAACACAACAGGTATGTGCAGCCCACCAATCTGCAGCAACTGCGTGATTGCTATCATGTCAATATGGACCAAAGTCTCTTAGGAATGTTTCCAGCACCTTGTTGTTCTGAAGGAAAAGGGAGGTCCAACCAATTACCAGCAAGCTGTACCTAACAAAGCGAAAGAAGAGTGTATACACTCATGACCAATGCCTTCTTGTTTGTAATGCCTAGAAATATCAGAAACATAAAGGACGGCAAAAGGAATCTGGCAGCGACACTTCTCATATTTGAATTGACGCCAGTATTGTCAATTTATGGTTCAGACACTTTTAGAAGCCATAGTAACCACCCCATTATATTGCCTGTTATTCTAACAGACCTGCCTGGATTTACCCCCTTCTGACAGCTTCTGTCAGAAAGAGAACCTGGTTTAAGACGAGGGTGTTTGATTGGCTTGAGCTCAATTCTACTGCAGTTGCAACAGGCACTGAAAGGTTTGTGATCAGCATGAGCAGTGGGAACAGCAGTGGGTTCCCAGGGGAAACATGCCAGCATTGCAGCAAATGTAGACCAAATCCATCTTTTATGTATGAAATTGAACTGCAAGCAGATGGGCTACAGCAGCCAGAAATTAAAAAAAAAAAATCCACCCCACACCGGGTGCCACTCCTTTCAGCTACAGACAGAAAACTGAGGCTAAATGCAACAAACAGCTGAGGCAGTTCTGAAGGCAAAAAGCAGGCACTAGCAAGGTGGACCTGTTGAAGTGGTCGCTGAGTGGACCTACAGGTCTTATATATGTAAGCCTTTTATAAGCCAAGTTCGATTTCAGTCTTAAAGTGCACTCTCTTCACAGGGAGACTATATAGTGCCCTGTCCAAAATAGGAGAAGTAGATCGTGAGTCCGGGCCAGGGATGGCTGAACTTTCAGAGTAAAATACTTAGATATAGCGCCTTAAAATGCAGTATTATTCAGTAGCTTATCTGATCAAAATTATTACACCTATGTAGGAAACGGTGTTGAGTAAGGTAATTATGAAACAAGTGGTCCATTAGTGCTGGGGGGTGGATTATATCTGGATTTGTTACACAACACCATAACCACTGTAGGCTTAAATAAACAACAACAACAAAAAATAAACAAACCATAAATATAAAACATCTAAATCTGTCCAACTGCATTTCAAGACACTTCAGCATTATATGTTTTAAACGTCTGAGCTCACAGAAAGTTGGGGCTTACCTATGTTCAGATACGGCAATAAAACTAACACAGCACACAATTTCATCGTCTAATTAAGACTAACTGCTTTTATCTGTCACAACAAGGCTGCGTTTAATGAGCGATCATGTAGACACCGAGGTGATTATCCCCGATGCTGTTCACATGTCTTTCACACAGTCTCACACACACTCCAAGCTCAGAGCAGACGTTAAGAAGCACAACAAACATTGTGCATAACATAATGTTCAATTTACACACAGTGAATTTAGAACTACAGCTTAAGAGTCAACCTCAATCACAGAGTGGACTTTTAATAGCTGCAGATGGAAAGATGCCACACGAAGCAGCTCCGATTCCTTCGTTTCCCTGCTTTCATTCACAGCAGATTCATAACAGCGGTTTACTCTGCAGTGATCCACAGACGCCAGTGAATCGACACAGTTCAACGTCATCACAGTACTCTAATTAATGCATCTATAAAATCTGACACTCTGCCCTGAAGGATTGTGTGGGATCATTTGTAGAAACGAGTCTC